AAAAAAAAAAAAAAAAATTTTTTAGATTTTTTTTTTCGAAATTTTTTTTTGAATTACTGGTTTTTTTTCTGGTTAGATGTTTTGATCAAAGATTTATTAAAAAAAAAACCCATTTTTTATTAAAAATTGTTGATAACTCATTCTCATTGAGCAAATTATTTTTAAGGGGTTTATCAAATTATTAAGATCAACTACCAACACAAAAATTTCATTAAAGTAGGTTAATTCGATGATTATAAAGCAAGACTATTTAAGGATATATTTATTATTCTATTTAGATTAAACAAAGATGCCAACCGTCGATCTAACTGACGTAAGGTGGTAATCGAAAAAAAAAAACGATTAAAATTAAAATTTATGAAAAATATTGTCGTGTAACAATACCTTTTATATTACATCATTTATAAAAAAAAATGTCTTCTATTTTAAACATGCAGCGAAAAAAAAAACAAAGCAGTACAAGAAAATTATGCAAAATATTTTAGAAAATGAAGAAACTTTATGCCGGAACGATGAATTGCCGGAAAAAAAGTCCCTCTTTTGTATTAGAATAAGGCAAACTTTAAAAAAAAAAAAAAAAAAGGTCCCCTCGAATTTTAAATTTCTTCGTTGCGCGAAGATTGAAAATTATCTCGTGATTTAATTAATATCATGTAAGGAATTACACAAAACTATTATAGGCTGGGCTATGATTTTTATTCTAAATTCCTATTATAGACCATAAAATTTTTTGGCTTAAAAAAATCAAGGGATGATTTTTTATAAAATAGAAAGATTTGTAAAAAAGGGGGTTTGAAATTGTGAATACACGCTCTTTTTTATATCGGTCAATGAGACAAAATAATCGGGAATAACTCGAATCTTCAAGGTATGAGCTCATAATTTCATCATTACATGTATCAAAAAAAGTATATGCAAGGGAATCCTGAAAATCTTTCTTTTATTTGTACAAAGAATTATTAATAATAAAAAGTCAATTTAAATTTCCCGAATTATTATTGTAGATTAGTAATTATTAAAATTCATGCAAAAGTAAAAAAAATTAGTTAAGCAATTGAGATTTCGGGATTATCATACTTCGGAGATTCCTGCAGGATCTGCTCGCATTCATGTAAAATCATACTAAAAAAAGTTATACTTTTTTTTGGGGTGAAAAAAGATGAAAAAAAAAAAAAAAAAAAATGTTTATCAAGAGTTTTTTGTTCGTTGTCTTTTTCATGAATAATACGAATAAGCAAATTGATTAAATTGAACTAACCAGGATTGTCACCAAGTTACTGACCAAAATATTTGGTGGTTGTGCAACACAGATTGGCAAAATGAAAAACACGCGTTAATTTACATAATCGAATTTTTTTTTGGTTAAAATTATTTTATTATAAACAATTTTGAGATATACACAATTTTTTGTTAAAATAAAATAAACAATATTACAACTAAAAAAATACGAAATATATACGAATATATACGAAGATATACAAAATCAATATAATGTTAATTATAAAATAGAAAAGAACGAAAAATGTTTTTATCTTTTTGGAGTGGGGGAAAACGAGATTATCGTAATTATTTGTTGAAATTATTGAAATTAAATTGATAAAAAAATAAAAAGAAAGAAAGAAAAAAAACTTAATGAATGAATTGGAGAAAACAAAAAGATTTTTTGTTCGCGTAAAATTAGGGTAAAATATAATATAATATAATATATACACATATCTATTTCGTTTATAATTATTTATTTTACTCAATTTGCCCCACACCCATAAACAAACCATCAAAAATATGTATGATAAAAAAAAATATATAACAAAGGTAAAAAAAAAAAATAAAAATAATTACAAAGAAATTGAAAATTTAAGTTCCCGTCCATAATTAATTAAAGAGAGAGTAAAAAAAAAAAAAAAAAAAAATTTTTTTTTTTTTTTTTTTTAAATTATAGAGAAGAAGTGTGCGTTAATTTATTTAGTTCTTTAATATGAATATCTAATCGAACTTGTAATTTCTTCAAATAATCGATTAGGCTTGGCATCACTTCAACGGATATTTTAAAATCTTCTTTTCGTACTTCATTTTCATTTTCATCAATGTTTTTAGAATGACGTGCCTTAAATTTTTCTTTAATTTTCTTACTAGGATCATATTGATTTTCTTTATCATCATCATTAAATAATTCAAGATTTTTGGCTTCATCTCCTAAACTGTCTTTAACAATTTTTTTAAATATTTTCAAATGACGTTCTGAAGGAATGCGTTCAATATCAACTTCAACGCGTTTCCCTCCACTAAATGTTGTTTCATTATCTTGAGCAACATCTGCAATATCAATAATTACATCTGCTTCTCCCCAATCTTGTTTGAATATATTTTCAAGATATTTGACTTTTTTGGAGCTTGGACGTAAGAATCCGTTAGTCCATCTTCTGGTTGTCTTTGTTTGTATCGTATAGCAAAGTTTTTCTTTTTCATCACGAAGTACTTTTAATTCACCTATATAAAACACAAAATCTCTTATATTGGAGATATCCATTCTTAATGAAACTTGAGATTCTTCAACTAATGATGGGACATTCAATTCATCCGTATTTCCTAAATCAAAATCTTCATCTTCATCCCAAACCTCACTTGGAGTTGCTATTTAAAAGAAGTAATTTTGTTAAAAAAAAAAAAAAAAAAAAAATTTGTTACAATAAAAAAAGAAAAACTTTTATTAATAAAAACTTACGTTGTCGATGATAAAGACTTGGGGAATAATCTTTATAATCTTTTACACTAATAGGAGGTAATGATTTACATCGGGTATGTCGTTTCGGAGGAGGAGGAGAATTTGATAAGGGTAAGGTGGAAGTTGACTTTCCCGCAGCTTTAGAAAGTGGTTCATCATATCCGGAGTCACTTTGTGCATCCCAATTTTCATCCTCTTCCTCTTCTTCAACAATTCCTGTTACGCAGCGAGGATTAAATGTACTACTCATAATTGATATTGAAGGGGAATTATCACAATGTTGTTGTGATTGATGAAGTGCGGCAGGTAAATTTGGTACGGATAGTGTCTTTCGATCACGATCATTCATAATATATAAACTAGTAACTTCGGAATACATGGATGAAATATCATCATCATCATCCGTTACTTGGTCTGGACGTATTACTATAGAAGGGGTTTTTTGAGAAATATAAGTTGAAGAAGACACTTTTGATCTTTTACTTTTTGAGCTGAATAGTTTGAAACGTTTCAAAGGACTTTTTGGTGATATATTTGTCGTAGTGAATGAAGAGGTCGAAGAAGAAGGGGTAAATGCATTAATATTAGAGCTATTAGAGCTAGTATCCATTGAAGTATTTGAAGTTCTACGTTTTTTAGATATTACTGGACGACCAAAAACGTATCCCATACTGGATGCTGTAACGACCGCTCCGGAAGAAAATGCTAGCTATTAAAAAATAATCGAGTACATTTATATATGAAATTCAAAGTTAGGATGAGTTTAACTTAATATGAATATCATATGAACATGCAGAAGAGAAGTAGGGGTCTTTTTCCTTTTTGATATTCTTTAATAAAAAAAAAAAAAAAAAAA